GTCGTCTGTTCAACCTCTCCGGTCCAGAGAGAGACTCCATGAAGGAGTACATTGAGGAGTCACTTGACTCCGGTATTATTCGTCCATCCACCTCCCCGGTGGGGGCTGGATTTTTTTTTGTAGCCAAAAAAAATAAGACCCTACATCCGTGCATCGATTACCGGGGTATAAATAACATTACGGTCAAAAACAAATATCCTCTTCCGCTTATTGACTCCATACATGAACAATTACAATCAGCCACCATTTTTACTAAGTTGGATTTGCGTAACGCATATCATCTGGTTCGTATTAAGGAGGGCGACGAATGGAAGACAGCCTTCCGGACCCCTTTGGGTCACTTCGAATATTTAGTCATGCCGTTTGGGCTCACTAACTCTCCTGCAGTCTTACAGGCATTAGTCAATGACGTACTCAGAGACTTTTTAGGGGAGTTCGTTTTTGTATATCTTGATGATATCTTAATCTACTCTCATGACAAGGAGGAACACATCAAGAGGGTCAGAACAGTTCTTCAGAGGCTATATGAGAACCAATTATTTGTCAAAGGCGAGAAGTGTGAGTTTCATACTTCATCTGTTTCCTTTCTGGGGTTTATATTTGGGGAAGGACATTATCGTACCGATCCGGAGAAAATCAAAGCAGTAGTAGAATGGCCCGTTCCTGAGACCCGTAAGCAGCTTCAACGCTTTCTTGGTTTTGCAAACTTCTACAGACGCTTCATTAGAGACTACAGCCATATTGCCGCACCACTCTCCCAACTTACCTCAGTTAACAGAACGTTCAAATGGACTACAGAAGCAGACTCCGCCTTCAACAAATTAAAACAACTTTTCTCAACCTCACCCATCCTCTGCCATCCTGACCCCAAACGTCAGTTCATCCTGGAGGTGGACGCTTCCGACACTGGGGTAAGTGCCGTTCTTTCTCAGAGATCCCCCAGAGACAATAAGGTACACCCCTGTGCCTTCTTTTCTCGGCGTTTGTCCCAAGCCAAACGTAATTACGATGTGGGAAATTGTGAATTACTAGCCGTCAAACTGGCTTTAGAAGAGTGGCGTCATTGGTTGGAGGGTACTGAGATCCCCTTCCTCATATGGACCGACCACAAGAACCTGACCTATCTTAGGGATGCTAAACGATTAACCCCCAGACAGGCACGGTGGTCCCTGTTCTTTAATCGTTTCCATTATATATTGACTTATAGGCCTGGTTCTAAGAATGTCAAGCCGGATGCCCTGTCCCAACAATTCTCTCCCCCAGATGGTCCTGAACTCGAGGAACATATCGTCCCGTCAACGTGCATCGTGGGAGCTCTCACATGGCCCATTGAGCAGGAGGTCCGCGATGCCCACAAGGAGGAGCCCGACCCTGGCCTGGGACCCCCCGGAACCCTGTTCGTCCCCTCTGTCATGAGGGCTAAGGTACTGGAGTGGGTTCACACTAACAAACTTTCTTGTCACCCAGGAGTTACCCGCATGTTGTCCCTAACCAAGTTCCACTTCTGGGGGCCGACATTGGCCCAGGACGTTAAGGACTTTGTTGCTGCCTGTGTTACTTGCGCCCGCAATAAAACAGGAAATCAACCCTCGGCCGGACTCCTACAACCACTACCCTCACCCAGCCGCCCTTGGTCCCACATATCGGTGGACTTTGTCACTGGACTCCCCCCGTCCGAAGGTACCACGGTCATCTTGACTGTCATTGACCGATTCTCTAAATCGGCTCACTTCATTCCCTTGGTCAAGTTACCTTCTGCTCTCGAGACTGCACAATTATTAATCCAGCATGTTTTTCGTATCCACGGTATCCCCTCCGACATTGTTTCTGACCGTGGACCACAGTTTATTTCCCAGGTCTGGCGCTCATTTTGTAAAACCCTAGGGGCATCTGCAAGTCTGACTTCAGGTTACCACCCACAGTCTAACGGCCAGGCTGAGGGGTGTAACCAGGAACTTGAGAACACCCTTTGTTGTGTCGTGGAGAACAATCCCTCAGCCTGGTCTCAACATCTGGTGTGGGTAGAGTATGCCCACAACGCTCACAGATCCACGGCCACAGGTATGTCACCATTCGAAGCCTCTCTGGGATACTTGCCTCCTCTGTTTCCTAGTCTTGAGATGGACATCACGGTGCCATCTGTCCAGCACCACTTCCGGCGATGTCGACGCGTTTGGCTGCAAACGAGAGCAGCCCTTCTACGCACCGCAGCTCAGAACAAGAAGTACGCCGACCGACATCGTTCCTCTGCCCCGTCTTACCAGATGGGCCAAAAGGTTTGGCTATCAACAAGAGACATTCACCTGAAGGACATTCCCAGAAAGATGGCTCCACGATTCATTGGCCCTTTCACCATCACAAGAATAATCAACCCCACAGCAGTCCGCCTTCAACTCCCCAGCTCAATGAGGATCCATCCCACATTCCACGTCTCTCAGGAGAAGCCGGTCTCCGAGAGTCCTCTGTGCCCGCCTACCGACCTCCCTCCACCCACCCGACTGATCGACAACCATCCCTCCTTCACGGTTCGCACCATTTTGGACGTCAGACGTCGAGGCAGGGGTTTCCAGTATCTCGTGGACTGGGAGGAATACGGTCCCGAGGAAAGATCCTGGATTCCCCGCTCGTTCATTTTGGACCCAAGTCTGATCACGACGTTCTTCAGAGCACACCTCAGGTCGCCTGGAGGTGATTCTTGAGGGGGGGGGGGGGTAATGCGAGAGTAGCTCTGCTGCAGCTCCCAAGATGGCCGCTAATGACCTACACCTGGCGGTCATCTCCCTGATGAGCATCAACTCCTATTTAAGGCTGCAGTCAAGACTACTCGATGCTGGAGCATTGATTCCCTCCCGGTACTAGTGCTCTCAGCCTTTTATGTTCTCAAGTATTTGTGATACTGACCTTGTGCTTCCTATGCCAGCAGTTCCTCGTTTTGGCCGTG